GAAAGAAGCTCATGGACAGCATCCAAGTACTGAGTTCAAGCCCCAGGACCCAAAAACAAATTCACCCTATTGCTGTCTCCTTTCCCATTCCTTCCTCCTACTTGTTCCCTTCCTACCAGCCCCTCTTTTACAATCATGTCCTTTAATTTTGTTTTAGGTCTAAATTGCGTATATGAGTTAAAACCTGATAATTCTCTTTCTGAGCTTATCTCCCCAACACAATTGGTAATAAGCTCCATCCATTTTCCTTACTCCATTATGTATAATTACCACACTTTCTTGATCCATTTGATCCATTCATTGGTTGTTGGGAAACCAAGTTGATCCTGTGGCTTTCTTTAGCTACTATTACTGATCATTAATCAGAATACTGAGAAGGCTGAGTGTCACATCATTCAAGTATTGACTGTGGCTCCAGACACTCAAGGTGACATCTCTTTTTTGGCCTATCCATCTGTATGTGGATTCTCACTTCTGAGACCATGTAGCAAAGTGGAGATTACTATTACACAAAGACAAGGTGTATGAAATGAAGGCTTCACCATTCCTGAAAAGTATATTCTAAACCCAATCTTAGGCCACAACCTGATGACCACATTTACCCATGTTAACATTTCCTAGAAGCAAAGGATCTTTATTTCTTCTCCCAGGAAGAATCAAGAATTTCAAAGCTTTTCTCCTTTATTGCATTTTTACCGTTAGTTGACTCACAGCTCCAGGAAGAGATCCTGGATTTGTTTTAAGGTTTCATGACCTCTGCCCTGTTTGGGAACAGGAAGAGGAAGTGCTGTGGGGCTCTCAGTTTCCTGCACACCATACCTCTTAATTTTCAATCTCTAACCCAGTTGCTATAACAACTCTCAGCTCCTGACTTTTTTTTTGGGGGGGGGGAACTTGATTTAAAGTGTCCATTTCCCTCAAGTCAAGAACTGCCCTGGGCCCGTCCATGTTACTGGAAGAGCTAAACCATAGGGAGCTCACTTATTGATTTACATTTTTATCTCTCTGCTCCTGGTTCTCCCCACACACCACCCCCACCCACCCCCAATGACTAATGGATTGGTGGATTTCAGAGAATTGCAGGGTGTGTGTGTGTGTGTGTGTGTGGTTTTGTTTTTGCAAAGTGGACCCCTCCTGCCAGCTCAAGAGAAGTACTGAGAGTGAACTCAAAAAAGATGAACCAAAAGTCATTGGTGAGAAGTTTGGCTAGAAGTCTCAGGTTTGCAGATGACAATGGCAGAAATCCCCTGACCCATGGCCCCACTTCTGGTTAGCTCCCTTTCAACAAGTAGAAAAGGAAGTGTCTTTTACTCTGAAAAAGACCACCCAGACAAATCTGAGGACAGCTTTCTCCTCCTCCATATACAGAAGATGAGACACAAAGGTGGATGTTAAATGAAGTGATTGCTTTATTATTATGTTTTACTAAGTTGTGTGGAAATCTGTAATGTACCAAGAAGAAGCAGAGACTACTTAATCTGTGCTTGCTGTGGCAAGAGGATTAGCCTCTGGCACTGGCATTTGGCTCACAGCAAGGCACAACAGTAAGGAAAGTTTTACAGGGGTGTTACAAGATAAACTTGGAAGTTGGGTATGGTGGGCCATGCCTATAATCCCAGCTACTTACCAAGTCAACTCTGCTCAGCTCAACTCAACTCCAAAACTCCGACTCAACTCAACTGTATTCAAACACTGTGGGTTTGAGACCAGCCTGGACATTTCATTTCAAGAAACAAACCAAATCCTCTAGGTGTACTAAAATGTTAACAAGTTTATTTCAGCAGTCAATGATTTGTGGGTTCAGTAGCACCAGACCACAAGTAGTTTAGCTCTACACTGAGAATTTGTGGGAGGGTCTGGGGGTTCTGGGGACTTTTATAAGATGTTCATGGAAACAGGCAAATAAAACATATTTGATTGATTAAAATGGTAAGCCCCCAATAAGGACTTAGTTTTGCGGTTTCTGATTAATTACATTTCAAGTGTTGGCTATTGACATATGTTGGGTCATACTTTTGTCTATGTAGAAACTCAAGTCAACAAAGATCTCCACTTAAGTGGAGTTTTTTGTTTGTTTCTCTCTTTTTTTGTGCTGTTACTGGGACTTGAACTCAGGGCCAGGGTTTCTCTCCTTCAGCTCTTTTTTTGCTTGAAACTGGTGCTCTACCACTTAAGCCACACCTCCACTCCCAGCTTTTTATTGGTTTATTGGGGAGAAGAGTCTTTCAGTTTGTATGTCTGGGCTAGCTTTGAACTGAGATCCTCAGATTTCAGTCTCCTGTGAATAACTTGGATTACAGGCTTAAGTCACTGATGCCTGGCTCTTAATTTGCTTTAGAAGTTTACTTTTCCACGTGTTGGATGCTTTGCTGATTTTGTCTCTCTGTGCATAATCCTTTTTTCTTTCTGCTGGCCTTTTCTTTGGTTTTATGAAGCATTCCCTAATGTTTCGCATCCAGCATTGACCAAGACAAGGATTGATTTTATTTGTTTGTTTTCTTGAGATATGGCCTCCCTATATATCTGAGATTGGCCTTGGACTCTATCTTCCTTCCTCTGCCTCCTATATTCTGGGATTATAGGTGTAGACCACCATGCCCAGATATAGCACTGTTGTTGTTGGTTTGTGTGTGTGTGTGTGTGTGTGTGTGTCAGTCATGGAGCTTGAACTCTGGGTCTGGGTGCTGTCCCTCAGCTCTTCAGCTCAAAGCTAGCTCTCTACTGCTTGAGCCAGAGTGCCACTTCTGGTAATCTGGTGGTTTATTGGAGATAAGAGTTTCACAGACTCGGGGCTGGGAAGTTGGCTCAGTGGTAGAGTGTTTGCCTTGCATGCCTGAGGCCCTGGGTTCGATTCCTCAGCACCACATAAGCAAAAAGAAAAAAGCTGGAAGTGGCGCTGTGGCTCAAGTGGTAGGGCACTAGCCTTGAGCTGAAGAGCTGAGGGACAGTGCTTAGGCCCAGAGTTCAGGCCCCACAACCAGACAAAAAAAAAAAAAGAGTTTCACAGACTTTCCTGCCTGGGCTGGCTTTGAACTGTGATCCTCAGATCTCAGCCTCCTGAGTAGCTAGGATTACAGGCATGAGCCACCGACACCAGGCTTTGTTTTGTTTTTTAACAAGTATGACCACACAGTCTGTATTGGTTTTCCAGTGCTGTATAACAAGTCATCCCAAACCTCTGAAGCTTAAGACAACAAGCTTTTTTTTTCTCCTGTGTTTTCCATGGGCTAGGAACTCAGGGTACATCTTGTTAGGGTAGTTCATGCCCAAGGTCTCTTACAAGCTTACAAGATCTGCAGTTACCTAAAGGCCTGACTGGGGCCCAAGGATCCACCTCCAAGGTGGCTCTTGCATGTGTAGCAAGGTGATTCTTTTCCCATGGATCTTTCCAATGGCTTGAGAGCTCTCACAACGTGCTAGCCTACTTTCCCAAGAGGAAATAGTACAAGAAGCTAGGGTAAAGTTGCACACCTTTTATGACCCCACCTCTGAATGCACACACACCATCATTTCTGCCATATTTCATTGATCATACAGGACAGCCCCAATTTAGTCTCAGATACATACAAGCAGGTCCCCAAGACCCATCTTGAGAACTACAATAATACTATTATCACATATCAAAAGGAACTATTATTTCATAGTAATATCAACTATCTAGTTGTTGTTGAATAGTTCTGAAGTGTTTGCTTTCCTTAGGACCAAGGTAAGTTCCATGTATTGCAATTTTTCACTCTGTCTCTAAGGCCTCATCTTATAGGTTCTCCTTCAGAGGAGAGAGTACTTATTTATTTTTTTGTGCCAGTCCTTGGGGCTTGAACTCAGGGCCTGGGGCACTGTCCCTGACCTTTTATACTCAAGGCTAGTACTCTACTACTTGAGCCACAGCTCTACTTCTGGCTTTTGTGTGTGTGTTTAATTGGAAATAAGAGTCTCATAGATTCTTCTGTGGGGGCTGGCTTCAAACCCACAGTTCTTGGCCTTCTGAGTAACTAGGATTACAGATATGAGCCACCAATACCCAAATAGAAGAGATTTTGATGAGGAATAAATGCAACAATGTAAGCATACACCTGTTATGATGCAAGCAAGCTTGCTGCTGGTCAGTCTGCTGAACTGATGTGAATTATGGGATGGCTCCCCTTTCTGTTTACGAATCCAATTTTAGAATGTGTGCTGTGGAAGCAAGCACACACACTAAAAAGGAAACTACTGTTTCTCAAGAGAGAACATTATTTTGCAATCTAGAAAAACACATCTGCCCTTAATATGGGAAGTGCTATCTCTGGGTTCTGATAAGTAGCAAGAATTTAAGGTGATTTGAGAATTCAAACTTTTGAAGCTAGTGGTCAGAACACACGAACCAGGAGACCTTAACTTACAGCAACAGCAGGGGCAGCCCTTCTTGACTGGTCTGAATGCTACCTGGGAAAGCTTTCTGGAAACAACAATTGTACCTTCTGATACCCAAAACTTACATGGTCTGTATTACAGGCTCATGTTGAAGCAGCAGCTGGTGTGTTTCACCATACCACACTCCCTGGGTGTTGCTGCGGCTTCCACATTGAATTAGGGATTTCTCTGCTGGGATTCTTTCCATCTGAATGGGAGTTGGGTCTCTAAGCATGATGGAAGACGGTACCTGAGCCATTGGTAAGACAGGGCACCATTGCACACCTGAACGTGTGCCAGGGGGGGCATGTGTGTACATCCTGCTAGTGTCTAAAACGTCTATGTGGCCACTGTGGGTTTATTCAGGAAGGAGATCTTCCCTGCTGTTTGGGGCTCTTATGGGAAGCTCAGATATTCTCAGTTGTCCCGTAAGTAAGTTTATGTCCATGAACGACGCCCCTTTCAAGAAGTACTCTTGTGCAGTGTGCAACCTGGACAGCTACACACAACAGTACTGCTTAGGATAACTGGCCATTTCCTTCTACATGGGTTTCTCACAACAGTGTAACTCCATCTTAAGTTCAAACATATCTGTTTCCCTTAAACAGTTCCAGGATTCCTGAGATAACTCGGGTCTTCCAATCTTTCCAGTGGAAGGTCCCCTTCATTCGCCTCATGGGGCTCTTCATTCTGCTCTCCTTGGCTCTCTTTTCAGGTAAGATGTGGGGAAGGAATGTCTTGGTGCTCTAAGCTATTGACATTCCCACCCAGCTGGTAGTTTTCTTCTCTCCTACATGGAGTTCCTGCTTATTGATGTATACTCCCTAAGCAGGGTGGATGGTGAAAAATAGGCCCTTTAAAAAATTTAAATTGTTATAATAAGGGTGATATACAAAGAGGTTATTATTTCATAAGTCAGGTAGTGAGTCCATTTCTTTTTGGAAAATGTCACTTTTTCCCTTCCATCTCCACCCACAAGTTATTTCAACATAGTGTCTAGTGAATACCACTGCTACATTTGTTCTCTCTTTGTCCCTCCATTTCTGCTTTCCCTTTACCCTTCCAAAGACAGATAAATGAACAAACAAGACAAAAAAGAGAATAAAACAAAAACAATAATGAAGAGAAAGCCCTTTGTTTCCATTTCCTGGTGTTGAAAATAGGCCCTTTGGGGACTGGGAAGGTGGCCCAGTGGTAAATGCTTGCCTCGAATGCATGAGGCCCTGGGTTTGGTTCCTCAGCACCACATAAACAGAAAAAGGCAGAAGTGGCACTGTGGCTCAAGTGGTAGGGGGCTCGCCTTGAGCTGCCCCACGACTGACAAAAAGAAAAGAAAACAAAAGAGGTCTTTTTTAGTCTTTGTTTTTATCTCAGATAAAAGCTTGTGGGGAATTTGAAGTCCTTGGCTAAAAAGAAAGTTCTACATTTTCTCCTTCAGTTTCTCCCAGTTCCCCCTCTCCTCTCAGTTCTTCCCTTGCATAAGTTTGTATTGACATAAGAGGACATAGGACACTACAGTCCCCTTTCTGCCTGACACCAAAGATGGGACTCAGAGGACTGTGCTCACCATATCTCCAGTACCCCACAGCTATGTTACCGATAGAGTTGCTTTGCCTCCCTCAAGGTCAACATCCATGCCTAGGAACTGGGGAATCTCACGATCTGCCCTGTGGATGTGGGATTAGAACAAAATGGTATGTGGGAGGTAAACCTGCTTCATAAGATGGAGCTACCTCCTCTCCACCTCTGGAAGGCTAAGAGGAGATGATGAGCTCTTCTGCCTCATCTCTTCTCTTTGGTCCCTTTTCTAGTCATGGCCAAGCTGGGTGTGGTGTGCATATCTTGCTCATTATGCAATATCCTGATGTGATAGAGGTATCTGTGCTGCTCCTGTGTGGAGGAAATAGACGCTGTTAGCTCTCAGAAGCTAAGAGCCTAGGTGGCCGTCTACCCATTCGTTTTCTTTTTGAGTTTACCAAGGTGGGATGGGGAGCTGGGGACAGAAGATCTACTGATGATAAGCCAAAGGCTCTTTAAAGCTCCCTACCTCTACATTCATACATCCTTAGACTAGAGAAAAGTACTTCTGGATTGCTGCATCGCTTTTCTAAGGCTGTTATAATAAAACACTACAGTTCAGTAGCCTGAACAACGGAAGCTCATTTAATTACAGTCATGGAAGTTAGAAACCTATGTTAGTATGTGATTGCTGTGACAAAATGTCTGACACCATTTTAGAGAAGAAGGATCAACTTTGCTCACAGTTTCAGAGTCCATCACTGGCTGGCTTCTTTGTTTGGGGGCCATAATGAGGCATAATGTCTTAGCAGAAGAGTGGGGGAGGGGGACAGAGCTGCTCACCTTCTGGCAGCCCAGAAGCAGAGACGGGAAGGCCTATCCCGAGGCTTTTCCATTATTGCTTTAATTCCATCAGGGCCCCCAGCCTGTGGGATGGCATCCCCACATTCAAGATGGGTTCAGTCTTCCTCCTTTAATCAATCCTCTCTGGAAATAATTTCATAAGAAGACCCAGAAGTGTGCTTTACTATTCAATCAGGTTGATAATCAAAACTAACCATCACAAAGCCTAAGATCCAGGTTTCTGCAGAGTTGTTCTCATTCTGAGGCCTCTCTCCTTGGTTTGTGGCATTCTTGCTCTAGCCATACATTGTCATCCTTCTGTCCACATTGTTGGTCTGTTGATCTCTCTCTTTTTAAATAATGACACCATCATATCTGATTAAGGAGTACCCCCAATGGTTTAATTTTAACTTATTTTGCTAACGGTCCTATGTCCAAATACAGTCATGTTCTGAGATATGGATGGGGAGGGGGAAGTTAAGACTTTTAAGGGAATACAGTGGATCCCCTAACACATATCACCTCCAAACAGCTGAAAACCAGTCTCTGATTCTTTAATAGTTATCCTTAAGGAAGTCAAGAATATATATACATTGTTGGAAATAACCATGTATATACATTTGTCTGTCTGCATGTATGTGTGTGTCTCTCTCTGTGTTCACAGATGCCATGGTCATGGATGAGAAGGTCAAAGCAAGCTTTGTGCTGGATACAGCTTCAGCTGTCTGTAATTATGATGCCCAGTATAAAGACCACACTAAATACTGGTGCCGGGGTTATTTCCGGGACTACTGCACCATCATTGCCTTCACCCCCAACAGCACCAATCGTGTGGCCCTGACGGACACAGGAAGCCAACTCATTGTCACAGTGTCCTGCCTGACCAAGGAGGACATGGGCTGGTACTGGTGTGGCATCCAGAGAGATTTTGCCAGGGATGACATGGATTTTACTGAGTTGATTGTGAATGACAACACAGAAGACGAGGCCAATGACTTCTGGTCTGGGAAAGGTAAAGAGGCTCTCAGGGATCTTTTTTTTTGGGGGGGTAACCCCACAGTGGTGGGTGCTGCTTGTTGATAATGTAAAAATTCACTGAGGCCAGTGATCTCCAACTCAGGTTGCCCCTCAGGTCTATGAGGTAACACCCCCCTCCATAAGATGATCATTGATAGTCATTGATGAATCTGGGGCCCTAGGGTGTTCTCAGAACTTCTTCACAGCAGTCTGACCCACAGACGTTGGGAGAAACCAGTGGGATCTCACAGACATGACATCTTTGTGTTAGTGATAAGGAAAGGCTTTGTGGTTCTTATGAAATCAGCCTTGAAGAAGTGATTGAGACTGCAAAAACAAAAACAAAACCCAAGTGTCTAGACACTTTCAACTTAAATATCTTAATAATTTACATGGATTAAATGTTGTGGTTGAGCTGACAAGCACTCTTTGTGTGTGCGTGTGTGTGTGTGTGTGTGTGTGTGTGTGTGTGTGTGGTGATACTAAGGTTTAAACTCTGGGTTTCCTGCTCTTCGTTAGCTTTTTTGCTCAAAGCTGCTGCTCTACCACTAGAGCCATACCTCCACTTGTATCATTTGGTGGTTAACTGAAGATAAGAATCTCTCAGATTTGTCTGCCTGGGTTGGCTTTGAACACCGATCCTCAGATTTTAGCCTCCTGTGTAGCAAGGATTATAGGCATGAGCCACCAGCTCCTGGCTAAGCACTCACTTTTCCTTGTAAGGAAGTCTTCCCTAGGAGATCATTAGGAGTGTGGGGCTGGGACCAGAGTCTACAGGATGACAGCTGTCTAAGCCAGTCGATCGTCACTTCTAACCAAAGCAGAAGCATGAATGGAAGAAAACAGCAAAAAAGCCAAGTGACAGTGTGAAGTCCTGAGTACTGGCATGCATGTGTGCTCTCTCTCTCTCTCTCAGCTTCCAGTTGGCCTAATGTGATAGTATGAGGCTCTAGTAGAGGGAGTGGGGGATGTGGAGTGGGGGTGGGGAGGTGGACTGAGTATGAGTCTCCTCAATTTCAATTGGCATTGTGCTCTGGATAGTAAGAGAAAAGGAGTTCGCTTTTAGAAATGGAAACAATGAGAAGCAGAAACGAACTATCATATTGCCCTTCCATGAGCTGACTGCTTGAAGGAAACACAGAGGCTTTCTGGTACAAAAGGTTTGCAGATCTAGGTGTCAGTGGCTCATGCCTGTAATCCTATCTACTCAGGAGGCAATCTGATGATCATAGTTCAAAGCCAGCCTGAGCAGGAAAGACCATGAGGCTCTTATTTACAATTAACTACCAAAAAGCCGTAAGTGGAGCTGTGGCTCAAGTGCTAGAATGCTTGCCTTGAACAAAAAGTTAAGGGACAGTGCTTAAGCCCTGAGTTTAAGCCCCAGCTCTCTCTCTCCCTTCCCCCTCCTCACCTCTCTCACTCACACACTTTCCAACATTCAGCAGAAGGAGCATGTGAGTATTTGAGGATCTTCTCAGTTAGCTCTGGTTGGAAGTCACAATTGATTGGCTTATATAGCTGTCATCCTGCAGGCTCTGGTCACAACCCCACACTCCTAATGGCCTCCTAGGAAGACTCAATTCCTTACAAGGAAAAGTGGGTACTTAGCCAGGAGATGGTGGCTCACACCTATAATCTTTGCGACACAGTAGGCTGAGATCTGAGAATCGAAGCGCAAAGCCAACCCAGGCAGACAAATCTGAGAGATTTTTATCTTCAGTTAACCAGCAAAAAGATACAAGTGGAGGTATGGCTCTAGTGGTAGAGCACCAGCCTTGAGCAAAAAAAGCTAACTGAGAGCATGCAAATTATTAAAAATTTTAAGTTGAAAGCTTCTGGGAACTTTGTTTTGTTTTGTTGTTGTGTTTTTTTTTTTTTTTTGCTGGTCCTGAGGCTTGATCTCAGGATCTGGGTGCTGTCCCTGAGCCTCTTTGTGCTCAAGGCTAGTGCTTTACCACTTGAGCCAGAGGGCCTCTTCTGGTTTTTTTCTGAGTAGTTTGGAGATAAGAGTCTCAGGAACTTTCCTGCGCAGGCTGGCTTTATGTTTTTTTGCAGCTTGTCACTTCTCCATGGTTCTAGACATGTAGGACTAAGATTTCATAAGAACCAATCTTGAGTTTTAGGCTTTGAAAGAGAGAAGTTCCACTTCAATGTGCTCCATCCATCCTTTCAGTAAAATAGACCTCTCCCAGTTCGTATCAGTAGAGGCACGGTGGGGGCCAGGGTAAGACTTCTCCCTTTGGGTTGGTGGCTGTCAGAAGCATGATGTGGCAACTGATCACATATTGGTTCTTTCTGTAAGCATGAGACTGGCCATCTGCAGGAATGCAGGAGGCATTCCTTCCTATGGGAGTAGCTCTCAGCCTGGAACTATAGCCTGTGGGCCTTTGTGAAAATCTGGAGATCTTCCTTCCTCCGCGTGCATGGAATTCAGTGGCACTGTGGCAAATTGACAGCAGGTTGGATATTAGATCCTACTTGTTCCTTATCCATGTTCCTTGTGTAGTGCACACTTATATAACAGTTGGATGCTTCTGTCTTAGTCAGAAATCAACAATGTACTCACTTTCTGGAGACAGAGAGAATGATCAGAAGAGAGGCAGCTGAAAGGCAAAGGAAGGGTCCCTGATGAGTCTTTCTCTCAACAAATTCTTTCTGATTTAGACCCATCCATCCAAAGGAACAGAAGTTGCAGGGCTTCCAAAATTGTCCACAAGGCAGATCATTCCAGGTGAGTTAGGAAACAGGTCTGTTTGGGAGGGCAGTAATGGGGTAGGATGGGTCCTAACCCAATAGATGATTCACTTGTACTCATTATTTCCAGCTGCATGGTATTTGCCCACTTGAATATGTTTCTCTCAAAAGGAGATTCTGATTTGAAAGCAGCAAAAGTAGTTTGTAGCTTCTTTAATTAAAGAGGGGAGGGAGCCTGGCACTGGTGGCTCATACCTGTAATCCAAGCTACTCAGGAGGCTGAGATCTGAGGATAATGATTCAAGGACAAAAAAGTCTGTGAGACCCTTTGTATCCCATGAACTACTTAGAAAAATGAGTTGGTGCTGTGGTTCAAGTGGTAGAGTGCCAGCTTTGAGCTAGCAGTGCCTAGGCCCTGAGTTCAAGCTCCAGAACTAGCACCAAATAAAATAAATAAATAAATGATTTATTTTTTCACTTCCAGCCCCAAAGAAGTATGTCAGTACTCTGATTGGCCCAGCTCAATTAGATGTTCACCAGGTCAAAGCGATGTGGTCACTGTAGACTAGAGAAAGAGAGTTGATGGGTTGCAACTGGGTTGAGCGTGGTGGGACGTTGATCTCAGAAAGAGAGAGCCAGTGGGCTGGGAAGGTGGCTCAGTGGTAGAGTGCTTGCCTTGTATGCCTGAGGCCCTGGGTTCCATTCCTCAGCACCACATAAGCAAAAAGAAGAAAGCCAGAAGTGGTGCTGTGGCTTAAGCAGTAGAGCGCTAGCCTTGAGCTGAAGAGCTGAGGGACAGCACCCAGGCCCAGAGTTCAGGCCCCATGACCGGACCCTCCCCCCCAAAAAAAAGAGAGAGAGCCAGAGCAGAGAAACCAAGTGTTTTCCCTCCAAGGGACTTGCAGTTTTCTGTAATTCCTTCTAGAATGTCCATTCTTATCATTTGCATACTGATGACTGGTTTGGGAATCATCTCTATCATCAGTCATTTGTCCAAAAGAAGGAGAACTCAAAGGAATAGACGAGGTAAGTGCCACAGTGGATGGTAGGGTGGTCAGGAATTAGGGAGAGGAGGCCTGGAGCAGATTTCAAACAAGTGAATGTGACCCTCCTCTTACTGCCTTGTCACTTAGAGACCAAAGCTGCCAAACCACGTGCTGGTGAAGATAACAACCTCTTTGTGACAAAGTCAACCTCTTGGTGAGAGGTGACAGAAAGAACCCTTATGCCAATTTTTGTGTTCTGGTACTGGGGCTTGAACTAAGGGCCTAGGGACTGCCCCTTAGATTTCTTGCTCAAGGATAGCACTCTATCTACCACTTGATCCAAGAATGTCATGAACTTTTTTGCTTGGGCTGGTTTTGAACACTGATCCTCAGATCTCAGCCTCCCAAGTAGCAAGATGACAGTCAGGAGCTACTGGTGCCTGGCTACATTACAGCTTTTGTAAATGGAAACTGGTGCAAACAGTGAAAGAAAGCTCAGAGAAAAACTACCCTGCAGGTTCCATATATACATATACATACATATATATATACATATACATATATATGAATATCTATCTATCTGTATATATCTGCAGATATATATAGATATCTATATCTCTCTCTATATATATGTATATATACATTATATATATATGTATATATATACATTATATATATATATATATATATATATATATATGTACACACATATCTGTAGAGCCAACTGATTCCCCAACTGATTCTTCCTTGAGTGAGGCAGTTTGATCACCTGGAAGAACTGGGGCCAAGGCTCATGTCAAAGGCAGGAGCTTCCAGGATTCCTGGGTAAGCAGGCATCAAAATATCCTCATGAGCTAGTTGCTGGTAGCTCATATCTGTAATCCTAGCTATTAGAAGGCTGAGATCTGAGGATCACAGTTCAAAGCCAGCCCAAGCAGGAAAGTCTGTGAGACCCTTATCTTCAAGAAACTACTAGAAAATCAGAAGGAGAGCTGTAGCCCAAAGTGATAGAGTGTGAGCCTTGAGGGAAAAGCCCAGGGACAGTGCCCAGGCCCTATTCAAGTCCCCTGACTGACCAAAAAATGAACAAACAAGCAAGCAAACAAAACCTTGAAAGGGTCAGGGTGAGAGAACAGGCTCACAGGCCTCAGCCTTGGGATTGCCCTTAGATAAGGGTGTGGTGCCTAGCTGTGTGTCTCCTTTTCCTCTTGAGTGGTTACAGGTAAAGTCCTCAGTAGAAGCTCCCAGATCAACCAAGCTTCTGTGATTCCCACGCCTCTGGTAAGTTCCCTCCTTGATTCTACTATGTCCTGGATGCTATGTCCCACAAAGCCTGTTCTGAAGGGTCCCTTTTTTAAAAATAAGGCTTTGCCAAGGGACTTGCTAGTGGCATGAGAGAGAACTCAAGGCTGCCATGTGACAATTTTGCTAAATCCTGAAGCATTCGCTAAATAGCAGCACTGCTGTTCAAATAATGCAGTACTCTTTTTTTGTTTCGTTTTGGTTTTAAATCAACTTTATTTCCAGGGCCAACCTATTTAACAACTCCCCCGCCCCCACACACACATTGCCAACTATTTTTTTTGGGGGGGGGTCTGGTCGTGGGGCCTGAACTCTGGGCCTGGGCGCTGTCCCTCAGCTCTTCAGCTCAAGGCTAGCACTCCACCACTTGAGCCACAGCGCCACTTCCGGCTTTTTTCCTTTTTGCTTATGTGGTGCTGAGGAATCAAACCCAGGGCCTCAGGCATGCAAGGCAAGCGCTCTACCACTGAGCCACCTTCCTAGCCCCATTGCCAACTATTGTAGGAATCATATTCCTTCTTACAAATACCAAAATCTCATATTCAGCAATGAGTTCTGGTTTGCAAAAGAGGATTTACGATTTGTACTTGTCTATATGGCTTTGTTACAAATTAAACAAAGACACACACACACACACACACACACACACACATGCATGCATGCACTCAAGCACTGTCTTTTTGTTTTACTTTAAAAAAAAATAGATGCCAGGGCTGGGAAGGTGGCTCAGTGGTAGAGTGCTTCCTTGCATGCATGAGACCCTGGGTTCCATTCCTCAGCACCATATAAGCTGAAAAAGCCAGAAGTGGCACTGTGGCTCACGTGGTAGAGCACTAGCCTTGAACTGAAGAGCTGAGGGACAGAGCCCAGGTCCAGAGTTCAGGCCCCATGACCCACCAAAAAAAAAAAAAGATGCCAATGCTTCAATGTTGTAGAAAACATCTTAGGAATGAAGAGTCAGTAAATATAACTATGAAATAGATTTCTATTACCTCTAGGTAGAAAATTGTAGCAAAAGAACATCTCACAGAAAGGGGAAAGAAACCTAAGGACCACCCCCCCCCGCGAAAGATGTCTTAAAGAAACACAAGGTCCAAAGGCTGGGAGAAGCTGGGATGCAAACTTAGGCTGGGAAGGCTCATGTTTTCCCGGTGATGCTTTGGTTCTGGGACCAGGTCAGGAGCCCCAGGAAAAGCAAATTGTGGTTCTGGCCTCAGTCATCTAGCAACTTTGGGAACTATGGAGGAGGAAAGATGCAGACAAAGCAACACCTTTCTCAGGTTTGCTAGAGATTATTCCCTGCTGGACACAATTATGGTGTCTGTCTTTACAAAGACCATTGTCTACTGCTTTAAGGCATGAGCTTGGTCAACCTGAACTTTTCTGAGCCTGTTTTCCTCTCCATAAATTATTTATCCCATTCATTCATTCCACAAACAAGGAACATACTAGATAGTAAGAATACAATGAGAAGCAAGTGTAGGACATAAACCAAGGTATGATAAGACTATCACACATAAACACAAATGTAAAATGATCAAATTAGCCTAAATAAAGGAGAGGCCAGTGGGTACAATGCAAGATACAATAGTGAAATCCAGCTCTATTCATTCTAGCCAGGGGTTGTACAGCCAGTTTTAGCTGTGGCCTGCTTCTTCACACACAGGCAAATGAAAAGCAAGGTCCCTGACAGCTTCAGCATAATAGGTTTGGGAAGACATCAAGTTGCATTTCTATCACCAAAATATGGTGAGCCGGTAAATGTAAGCCTGTGTCCCAAATATTCTTATTAACTCACTGGTAAACTCTGGGCATCTGATTCCAGCCCCTCAAAACAACCTTGGTGCATATTCCCAAGAAGCCCATAGGAGAGAGCGTGTAGCTTTTGTTGAAGGAACATTCAGGCAATAGATCTCAACTCACCTTTTCCTTTCTATTCCCCAACAAAGTAGGCAACCATGAAGCTCCTCCCATGTACAACAGAAGATGTCTTTTATTTAGTTCATAAATTAAGTATGGTGCTAGAGTAAAATCACTATGACAACTGGCCAGAAATCTCAGGGATTGATTCTGAACTCTCAGGCTCTCTGAAGGACCCTCTAAACCTTGCCAGCCTCATTCGAAGCCAGGTAACAACAGCAGCGGTAGTCAGAAGAGCTAGGACAGACCACGCTGAGCAAGGCCGCCACCAAATAACATCTCCAGACCTTAGCTGGCTGGCATTTGATTGGCCAGGAGTGAAGAAGAGGTGCAGAATCTGGGTCAGAAATAACATGTATTTTTTTTTGTTAACTAATAAATTCCTGACCAATGTTAAACTCTAGAGTTATGACTAACTTCTCCCAGGATAGCATTGTTAAAGTTCCTTAAAAAGTGAAATAATTTGGGTTGGGAAGGTGGCTCAGTGGTAGAGTGCTTGCCTCGCATGCATGAGACCCTCGGTTTGATTCCTCAGTACTATATAAACAGAAAAAACCGGAAGTGTTGCTATAGCTTAAGTGGTAGAGTGCTAGCCTTGAGCTGAAGAACTGAGAGGCAGTGCCCAGGCCCAGAGTTCACGCCCCACGACCGACAAAAAAAAAAAAAAAAGTGAAATAGTCTAACTCATGTCTGAATTAGTCCTAAATGCTGTCCTACCCAAAAGAAGGGAAATAGTATGGCTTTCAGCTTCCTTTAGAGCGAAGACTGGCTCATTAACCACATCGTCAAAACTGCCATCTGAGCAAATAGATGCCAATTTTGATGAAAGGGTAAAAAGTGGCAATATCCATCCAAATCAGGAAACACAAATGAAGACCAAGACATCTGCCACAGATATATGCAATATATTGTTATTGGTGCCAGAATTACCAACATGAGATGAACATTGGTGGTAATATGCAATGAGAAAGGGTAAAAATCATGTCCTCATCTGCATAATTTGTTTTCCTTTCTTCCTATAGTGTCCTTCCTTCTGTTTCTGGGAGACCCCAGGCCTTCTCTAACCTTGTATCCACTGCCCCAATCAGAATCTTGCTCTTGAATGGAGTTTCTGGCTAAATCCAATGGCCCTCTAGTCTGAGCAGAGGTGGGACAAGGAAAAAGGCTGTTGATAAGATTCTGCTTGTGTCTTTCTTGACCACATCCAGGCTCTAGTGCATGTTTCTGTATGACCACCTTCCCTACCTGAGGTTCATTCTGCATTAAAAGTGCTCACTCAGCCGGGCCCTGGTAGCTTATACCTGTAATCTTAGCTACTCAGGAGGCTGAGATCTGAGGATTGAAGTTCAAAGTTGAAAGCTAGCTCAGGAAGGAAAGTCCATTAGTCTTTTAACTCCAATTAACCATCAAAAAGCAGCAAGCAGAAGTGTGGCTCAAGTGGTAGTACACTAGCCTTGAGAACAAAAATAACAAAACAACAACAACAAAACAACTAAGGGACAGTGCCCAAGCCCCGAGTTCAAGTCCACTACTGGCACACATGCATGGGTACATACACACACACACACACACACACACACACACACACAGTGCTTTTCTTCTGTCCCCAAACAACTCTCATCCATCCCTCCATGTGGCCATGTAAAGAATTTCCACAAAGGGGCCACCATCCACTCGTTCTGTACTCAGCTATTCAGTTTGTGCTCAAGGCACCCTAGTAGACAATATGGGATGGCAGATTTCCATGACAGAGACAGACATCTTTAGTTGTCTTGATCGATTCTTACCTACACTGTCCATGCAACCATTTTCCTGAGAAATCCTCAGGTGGTTCTGCTGCCATGATCCAGGATTCAAGAGCTTTTTTTTTCCCTCTCCCTCTTTTCCTTAGAAAAGTACTTTTTGAGTCTGTGATGGATTAATTACTCCTTTTCTCCTCCAGTAATTCCTGCTGCATACCAGTTCTTGTGGTTGGGAGACAGAAAATCTGAAGACTAAAATTGACATGTGCTGTTAAAAAAAAGGGAGGGGGGCAACTTCAAGCAAAAGAGGGGAGAATAATGGGTTTGGATGTTCCACGTACAAGTAGAAAGCCTTAGTACTCATGCATACGCATGCTGCTATGGCTGTGTTTGTAAGGCTCTAGCTGTAAACTGGAAACCTCAAGTGGCTTCCAGATTCAGAGTTGGCAGAACTGTTTGATGCTGGCAAAACTGGAAGATCTCCTGGAGTTTGTGCTCCTTGAAGTCAGCCAACTGGAGAAGAGCATAGGGCTCTGCTGCCCTCCTGGGGCTGGCTTCTCCTTGATGTTGCAGCCTTTCTGTGGGGTTATTTCTCTAAACTAGTCTTGCAATGAGTCTGTGCCTTTATCCAACTCTGTTTCACTAGCTTCTCCCTCAAATTCAATACTGGAAGCCAATGCTCTGAAGACTGTGTGAGTAATCCTTGTCTTAACCTCAAGTACTGGGGTTACAGGTATATGCCATCACATCAGATGAGAGCTTATTTTGTTAGAATATTTTGAGCTTCATTCTTTTTTAATGACTACATTGTACTCCATAAGCCAATCCCTATCACCTGACATTGAGAGATCCTCAAGTCTTTTGCGATTATAGATAATTGGGCATGATGGGTAAATGTGTGAACTATAGCATCCACTCAAATGGAATAAAGTTCTACTGCTATCACATCTAGTAGAGTGAACTTGGATAAGTTATTTAACCTCATTGTGTCTCTATTTCTGTACCTAAATTGAAACTAATTTTAAGCTCAGGGTATTCTGTGATGATTGTGTAAATACCTGGCTCAATGATTTGATGCCTACAAGTCTAAGTTTCAGCTAACTTGAATAACACTGTCATTAAAGTTAGATAGTACCTTTCTATATTGGTAAGTAGGATAAATCCTTAGATTTTTTAGAAATTCTTGGAAATAGAATTTAAAGTGTTTACTATTGCTCAACTGCTATTCATGGTAGTTGAACCAACTTGCCTTGCCCTGTACAGTATGTATCTTGGTTTGCCCTAAATGCAGATTGTTGGCAAACTTTTTGATAGACATCATCAAATTGTAGTTCTAATTGTAGTGTTAATGACCATTTCACTTACTCTGAATGAAGCTGTTCATATGTTTAAGAACCATTGATATTCATTGTTCTGTTTTCCTATTGAGTTATGATATTTTTTCCTATTCTTTTTAAAAAAATATATTAAGAAAATGAGTTGTTTGGGCTGGGAAGGTGGCTCAGTGGTAGAGCGCTTGCCTTGCATGCATGAGGCCCTGGGTTCGATTCCTCAGCACCACATAAGCAAAAAAGGAAAAAGCCAGAAGTGGCACTGTGGCTCAAGTGGTAAGAGTGCTAGCCTTGAACTGAAGAGCTGAGGGACAGCGCCCAGGCCCAGAGTTCAGGCCCCACGACCGGACCCAGAAAAAAAAAAGAAAAGAGAAAATGAGTTGTTTGTTTATGAGATGAAGTAAATGTTTTCCATGCTTTTTACTTGCCTTTTTAAAGTGATATTTTATGTCATGTTAGTTTTTTTCTGATTTCCAGGTTTTGTGTCATATATGCAAAGATATGCTCTATGCTGAAATTATTTTAACAAATTCTGCCATGATTTTCTAGTCCTTAAATGGTTTTATAGTTAAATTTTTAGGTTAGTTTTTGTTGTTGTTGTTGACAAATATCTTAATTTTAAAGGGGGAAAAGTTTATTTTGGCTAACAGTTTCAGAGGTCTCAATCTAACATCAGCCAGACCCACTGTTTTGGACCTAAGGTGAGGCAGAACATCATGGTAGAGAGGGTATGACATTGAGCTGTTCACCTCATGGCGGCCAGGAAACAAAGAGAAAAGGGAATTGGGAACAAGGTATATTTTTGCAGAGCAAACCTCCAGTGACTTATTCTTCCAGCTGAGTTCCATCTTCCACTTTCTTTCATCTTCCCAAAACATAATCAAATTGTAAATCCAGTAGAGATTAATCCATTCATTGGGTTGGGGCTCTCAGGATCTGTTGCTTCCCTCAAAGCCCATCGGCTGGTAACCAAGGCCAGATCACATGAGCTTTGGAAGCATTTCATAATCAAACCATATTTTGGGGTATCTGGAATTTATTTTGAGATAGGAGTGAATGGTCCCCTAGCTACATTCTTAAAAATGTCAACACCATTTAGTGAATAAATCAACCTCCTCCAAGTTACTTGACATGCCATCTTCATCATACTCTATATTTCCTTTTGTGTGTTGATCTATTTTAGCTGTTTTATTATATTCCATAGATTTGTCTATTCATGTCCCATAAACATGTTGCTTTAAATAATCATGTTTAGGAAAACAGGTAATTTTAGTTAGCTGTTAGGGCTAGCCTTCCCATATTACTTTTATTTATTACAAACTTCCCTTTATGAATTTTCCTGGATTTGATTTCTTATTATTTTAGGAATTTTAGAATAAACTTACCTAGTGAAAAATAAATTGATTGCTTTTCTCTTTGGAAACCCTGAGGATTCAAATTCAGGGTTTTATGACTTTAGGCGGACCTAGCCCCAGCCCATTATTAATATTTTAATGAGATTTTCTATGCATAATTATCCATTAGGACATTTATATTCATCTTTATGACTGGTCTCACATAAGGTGGTTATGAATGTCTCTCATACATTAGGAAAGATACAAATCCACATTTGAATAATGCTTTATAAAATATAAACTTCATGTTGGGCACTGGTAGCTCATACCTATAATCTTAACTACTCATGAGGCTGAGCTCTGAGTTTAAAGCCAGCCTGAGCAGAACAATCTGAGCTTCTTGTCTCTAATAATCCAGCAAAAAGCCCGAAGAACAGGAAAACCTTGAGCAGGAAAAGCTCAGCAATTGCATAAGGGCCTGAATTCAACTTCCATACAAGCTCAAAAATAAAAATAAAATATGGGCTTCATATGTATGTAGAATTCTGGTCATAAATTCTGAATGAGGTGACAAAAACAAACTCATGAAGAAGGAGGCTATGTTTGTAGAGGGTTTGTGCCTTTTACTTGAAAGATCCTTTTACTCATTTGGTTAATTACTCCATGGATGATCAGTGAGCTAGGGACACATTGTACTAAGTTCTGTCACACATACTTTGGAAGGATACTAGAAAGACCTTCAGGGAGCCATCTGCTGTCAGTTCAAGTAGGGAGGCAGCAATCTTTTCTCTGGCCAAGAAAACGATCCACCATTGGTACTCAAAACTATGATAGTATTGCCAGATGATGCTTAAACAATTCTGAACTTTCACACACAGGCTGTGACCCCAAATTTGTAAAAAGAAAAAAAAAGAGGGAGGACTGAGAGGAATTAAAGGCTCATGGAGGAAGCAGCTGTGAGTTTGTCACTTTAACCTGGGCATATACAATGGGATCCAGGTCTGTAGAGCTGTTTTCAATCAAGTGATTGTTCTTTTCTTCTGAAGGTCTGAAAGTCATGCTGGCATAGGTAGGTGAGTCTTTTTGTATGGTTGAAAGCTTCAGAGAAAACAAAGAGGAATAAGTGAATTCATTTTGGAGCCAAAGATATCTTTTAAGTGACCCAAAAGCTTCAGTACAAGAATCCAACAAGATAAGAACTCTTAAAAGAACCATTTGCCTAGAGCTCAGGAAGTGACACCACTATTTCAGTAGACAATACAGAAGGAAATCTGGGGGAAATCCCAGTTGCAATGACCTTCCAGTGTCCTGGAAACATGGCCATCTTACCTTAGCAGGAGGATCTGAGCCAGAATCCAGGGTCTGGGAATTGGAATGACCTACAACACGTGCCAGGAAGACATACATATCTCACCAACGAGACCTGGAGGAGTGGGGGAGTCTTTCCCTTCAACCTCTGGTGGTGTGAGGAGGGCAGGGAAATCAGGGAAGGCAGGCTAACGGGCTTCATCTCACCCCTGCCTCCTCCCCCTCACTGGCTCCTGTCCTCAACGGCAGAGAGAAGGTGATCGCATTCCCCAGACACCACTTACACCTTCTGCAGCTCTTCACGATGAGAAAGACAAAGGCTAGCAGCAGCAGAGTCAGTAGAACTCCAGCAAAAAAGGCCAAGATTAAATGCTCTTTTCTGTTTTGGTAAAGGGAAGGAAGGAGCAGATGAATTGTTGGGCCTTTTGAAGCCCTTCCTGAAAGTCAAGTGTAACTTTCCTGTCTGCCAGTAAGCCCTTGGAATGACTCTCACGTAGGCTAGTGGATTTCACGCTCACCCACTGGTTATTAATATTTTGCTTCTGGTTATACAGGCATTTGGTTCCTCAGTGAGAGCTATGGATTTTCTCCCCTTCCTGCCCTCCAACTAATCCATGTTTTACCTTCCTTCCCCCCCCCCGCACCCCGCTCCCTCCCACCCCTCACATTGGGTGAGTCCAGAGATTTCTGCGTCTCCCAAAGCTTTGAGAGACCAAATTGAAACTCCATTCCTAAGCTCAAACCATGATTTTATAGTTTTACTGTTTCTGATGCCATCTCCCCAGACTCCCATTTCTAGTACCTATCCCTAGATACTGTCAACACTAAATCCAGTGCCATGCAACCCAGATGAAATGATGGAGTGAATGCCTTTACTTGGGAAGATTGAGGTGGCAAGGCTCAGGGCTGGTTGGTGGGACTGTAATGGTGTCTGCAAGAGAAGATGGAAGGGAGGCATCAGTGAACTGGGTTCCTTCTGCTGTCCTGCCCATTCACATTTCAGCTCCCCCCCACACCCTCCACACACAAGCAGTGTGAGATTAGTAAGGGGCCTGCAGATCCACAGAAGGTGAGAACACTCGATCCTTTAAAATGAGAAGTAGACATCCAAGTGCTAATATCTCAAGCCTGTAATCCTAGCTACTCCAGAGGCTGAGATCTGAAATTTGCAGTTTACCACTTATCTCCAATTAACCACTTAAAAATCAGAAGTGGAGCAATGGCTCAATGTGATGAGTGCTACCCTTGAGCAAAAGAGCTTAGGGACAGCACCTAGGCTTTGAGTTCAAGCTCCAGAACACACACACACACACACACACCCCCAGAAGCAGAGCTGTGACTCTTGTGGCTCAAGTGGTAGAATGACAGGTTAGCATGAAAAAGCACAGATCTAATGTTCAAGCCTTAGTAGCAGCACCAAAAATGTAAAAAGTCACAATTATAATTGGACCTTAAAATAACTGGCCAGGGCTCAAGTGGTAGAGTACTTGCCTGAGGCCCTGAGTTCAAATTTCATACTAGAAAAAAAAACTAAAAAAACCCTGGAAAATCATTCAGTAAACATCCAAAAGAAATGAGCTAAGTGTTTTGAAGCCACAGCAGTCCTTTAGATAAACACAACTTCTCCTCAGGTGTTCCCTCTCTTCAGCACTGGGAGACATTCTGCCCCTGCCTAATCAAGACTGTCCATCTGGGAGCAAGAACAAACAGTAAAACCCAAAGCCAGTGCTTATCAAAGTCCTGAGGACTTTGACCTTGGACACTGCTACCTTTTTCTGCTTGTTTGCAGGGTAGCTATTAATAGTGGCTGGCCCTAAACAGATACAGTGGTTTCCCCAGAGCCTACCCTGTATACTGGAAGAGAAATGAACCTAGAGTCTTGGATACTGCTGCCCAGCTGGTCTGCTCAGAGTTGGAGGACCAGGTAGT